TCCCCAAACGTCCTTTTCCTGTTTTCATGGATATCTGAAACTGGTGCCATGTAGACTTTTTTTAAAGAAGGAAAGAAAGTATGTATTTTTATTTATTTATTTATTTATTTATTTATTTATTTATTTATTTATTTATTTATTTATTTGTGCATAAACACATTTTCCCCCTTAAAGGAACACATGAGTAGATAGATGCACACTCCCATTGAGCGAAATATATTTGGGCAGAATTTTTGACTGCACGCTGCGGGTTTTGTGTATTTCTCAAATGCTTCCAGAAATGCATTCTTACTCTTCTGCAACATGCATGGCAAGCCCAGAAATGCATGCTTTTGTAACCACAAGTTGTGTCTGTTTCCACAATTGGACAGAATTAACTTGATGGCGTAAATGTTTCACACATTGCTGCTCTAGAGATCTTCACTGCTTTCTCAGCATCTAAATGCTTCATGTCGGGTTCCAGATTACATGGACAAAGTCTCCACACCTGTAATTGATATACTTCTTGCGGCCATTCACACAGTCTGCTGAATGGGCGAAGGTCAAAGAAAGGGGCCGTGCATGCACACTTTCATTCACTTGGGTCAGGTTGTCTGAATTGCTTAATTTTTTTCACTTATTTATCTGATTTTTATCCTGACTGTCTTCCCTTGTGGGGAACCAAAGTGGGATACATTTTTTTTTAAAGGACTACAAAACTCTGGGCAAATCCCTACATAATACATTTATCAGTAGCTATTAGGTGCAAGACTCCCTGGAAAAGACCCTGTTGGGAAAGTGTGCAGGCAGGAGGAGAAGGGGACGACAGAGGATGAGATGGTTGGACAGTGTCCTCGAAGCAACCAACATGAATTTGACCCAACTCCGGGAGGCCGTGGAAGACAGGAGGGCCTGGCGTGCTCTAGTTCATGGGGTCATGAAGAGTCGGACATGACTAAACGACTAAACAACAACAAATTAGGTGCAAAATCTAAGATGTTTCTTTGTAAACAGGACAGCAGTGAGAAATGGTGGAGGTGGGAGATAGAATAGCACTTTTCAAATACTTGAAAGGTAGTTCTTGTGGGTTTTTCGGGCTCTTTGGCCGTATTCTGAAGGTTGTTCTTCCTGACGTACAGAGGAGGAGCAGAATCTGTTCTCAATCCTCCCAGAGTGCAGGAGACATAGTAATGTTATAGAAAGACAGATTCAGGTTGAATACATGTACAGTATCAGGAAAAACCTCTTAACTGTTAGAGCAGTATGACAACGGAACCCATGACCTCGAGAGGTGGCGAGTGCTCCAACGCTGGAGGAGTTCAAAAGGAAATCGGACAGCTGTCAGATCTCCTCTGGATTCCTGTATTAAGCAGGGGGTTGGACTTGATGGTCTTATAGGTCCCTTCCAGCTCCATTATTCTGTGACACTTCTAAACACAAGATATTCAGACACACTTTTCCACAACTGTGATTTCCAATGCACACGATGGCCTCCAACATTTCCGGGGCTATGTCTCTCTTCATTTCATCCCGCTGCCAGACGACACCCACTTCATTCTAGTTGGTCTGAGCTGTATAGGAGCAAGCTTTCCATTTGTCTATGTTAGTTGGTACTGCAGCCCATCATACAAAACGACAGGATGGGGTCTTTTGCAAGGGTGTCCAAAAGTGAAATTGGTGGGGCTTCCTTGGTGCCCTCAGTTCTTGGTGCCTGGAGCAAAAAAAGAAGAAGGCAGGCATCCTAAACTCAGCTCCCCTGGAAAATAGATTCCCTCCAAGGAGGAGAGAAAGATAAAGAGGTATCTTGAAATAATGGTAGACCTTGCGTAGTAGTAATCCAACAGGCTGAAATAGTGGAGGAGGCCTATCAGATTCTGAGCCCTTACGATAGCGAAGCCCTTTCCAAAGAGCTTTAAAGCTGTGCCTGCTAGAAATCCAGGGGAAGTAAAAATAATAATAAAATGCAAATATCACTGGTTTATGTGGGTGAGAGATGAATGAGAGAAGTAGTATTCGAGTGTATTGGAGGCACCATGAGTCATGTCTTTAAAAAGACAAAGTAATTTGCAAATTTTCATGATGTCTTAGGTGAGATTCATTAAGATCTCCAATAGAAAAGGGAGATAAACCCTAAATTTCACCCGGGGGGGGGGTATAACCAACATTTCTTGGGCCTGGCACTACCAACCATTGGCCTCACCTCCACTAACCACTTTGTGTATCCATGGCCAAAATGCATCTTAACGTTGGATGTCCGCTGTCATCCTGCTTTGGGCCTGCCCCATTTTTAACACCGATAGGGGCAACCCACAAGAATGGAAGTGGTCGGAGGGATCTGACTTCTCACCACTAAAAACAGCATGCTGGCCGTGACGTGATCTGGTTGAACTATTCTAACATCCCAATGTGTAAGTCTGTGGGTTAGAAGACCAGCAAGTGGAAGCCTGGGGACCCAAAAGGAATCCTTACACCCTACAAGCAACCTTCCCCGATGCCCCATAACTGCTGTGTCTGGAAGGAAAAAGATTATCTAAAGAAAATGGCGGCCCTGGTAATGAGATATGACTCTACCTACTCTGTGTCCATCTTGAAACAGCTCTGCAACGTTCATAGGTTTTACAAAGACTAAACCACAAATTCTAGGATGGACTAAACATACCTGCTATGCGTACTGTACCCAGTGACATATTTCTATTTGCTAGTGCAAAAAAACCCCTCTAAGTGACTCATATGGTCCAATCCTAAGCAGGAGCCTAGGAAGACCTAGTATGCATGCTTACATCCTTGTGCGTTGCTTAATTTATGGCCCTCAGTTCTTCAAGAGGTAGTGATGGTCTTGGGCAGAGATGGGTACTTCCCACGGTTATGGTGGATCAGACTCACAGAATTCCATGCCCTGCCTCCACCTATGGGCACCCCAGTAGAAGCAGCACCATGGGCTTCCGTGGCCTTGCTTTGTCTCCAAGTGGGCACCCACAGGAGCAGATGGGAGTACAGGATCTAGGGCGCCCACAGAACATCTGTGGGCCTGATCCACTGAACTGTGCCAAAGCACCAAACTGCGATATGTGTCCCTATCTAGTCTTGGGCTAATATGACAGTAGAAAGAGATGTGACAAGTTCAGGGAACGTAAGGTTCCTCACAGATGCAATCTCCAGGTTCAGGAGCAGGATTATACCTCTGAATAGCAGAGGATTATGTCTCTGAATACCAGTCAAAATATTTCTTGTTTTGATACTTTGGAATGTCATAACAAGAGATGGTTAAAATTCTCACGTCTATCTTGAGGGCCTCCAGGAAGTAGGTGGTTGGTAAGTGTGTGAAGAGAATGTTGGATTATTCAGACCAACTTGGGCCAATTCGGCTCTTCTCAGCTGACACTCAAAAGGCAACCTATTGTGAAATACCTGTAAAGAATTTACTGAGCCATAAGCAGTGGCACCAAGTTCTCAAGAAGCTTGGATCTTTCAAAAGTTGTCATAACAAAATTAGTTGTTACAAAGCACATTCTGCCTCCAGCGATCTCCCACCTCCGTATTCCAGAATATTTGTTCCCTGGTCCAAATGTACAGCAAATATACTCTTATGCCTACATCAGCAAAATAAAATAAAATAAATCATCGTGTTTGCCACCTCTCTTCCTGATAGTGCTCTTCTGCCTTTTACGAAACGAGTGGGAACACATCTTCCTTACCACTGATCAACATGTAAAACAGAGAAGCCAGGCCCTTTGGGGGGGAGGAAGAGGAAGGCTGGGGCAGCAAGCCAAACACTCAAACATCAAGCAGAGGACTATGAAAATGATCAAACTCACAGTTTAAAGTTCAATTTCTAACCCACAACAGAAAGACTTCCTACACCCACAAAGGTCCAAGTCAGGAGATATGAAAGGAATTATTTAAAAGGAGGGATGGTACCATTTGAAGTTGCACTCAGGCTTTGCATTCTTGTCTGGGCAGGGCAAGATAAAAGTTTTAGAAGAATTCCGAAGATAAAGGGAAGACCTTCAAGCCGTCAGAGCTGATAGTACACTGAAGGCATTGTATCAACACAGATAGGAAGTTCCAGCTTTTCCCCAAAACTATTCAATGCCCTGCCTCCCCCCACCACCAAAAGGGGGGAGGGTATTCTTCCAGCTTCATGTTCACAACACACACACACACACACACACACACACACACACACACACACACACACCCTTTGCTGCAAGATAACAGCTTTGTCAAGCACCTATCCCTGGCTTTCTTTCCAAAGGCCACAAAGCAATTAACAGCTCAGCTGATAATCGCAGCTCAAAAATGTCTTTCCATATGGGATAAAATACTGAAAGGTGGGGGGGGGGTTTAGAAAACTAACCCCTTTTCTAATTCTCAGTGACGACTGATCCACAGCACTGTTCTTAGGCCATCTCAAAACTTTGGAAAACCTTTTCATTTCCTTTAAAGAACTCATGGCTAGTGACACAAAGCAACCGTAATTGAACATTATAATATTACTGCAACAGGTTGAATGCATTAAATCTCACCGGTTAACCTGCCTGGTTTTTTTAACAGATTAAATAGCCATATATATATTTATCTTTCCGGATAAATCCCACCTTAAAAATCACAAAAGCAGCCAACTTTTTCCTTGCTGCGTTAAGAAACATATAGTAATTTAAGCTCTCCCCGGAGCTTTGGCTGAAACATCTGCTGGAGGGTTCTCTCCCCCTCCCCTCCACATCTGGGGTGGGTGGGAAAGAATTTTACGACCAACAAGCTCTTACTGCTTGCCGAAATCCCAGAACGACTTCAGGCGGCGGCTGCTGCAACTCCGAAGTTGCAGCGCAGACGAGAGTTCCGCCTCTCCACACACCCACCCCCAAATGCTAAAACAGCAGCTGTTCGCAGCCCGATCCGAGGCAGCTGTTTCCTCGAGAGTAAGTTCCCCGGGCATCTTCCGCGAAGGCAGGCTTGCTCTCCGGGAGGAAAAACGCCGCGAAGAGTTTGTCAAGAGGAAAAAAGAAACCGGCCTACCTTACCTTAACGCTTTCCAGCTTTTCAGTGGGTCCAGGTCAGAGATGATAGAGACCATCGTATTTATATAGATAGATTTGGTGGGGAAAAGGCAAAGGAGACGCAGTCCCTTTAAAAAAAAAACGAACCGGCCCTCTCTGCTTACTGCGTGGGAATAACAAGATGATAAAAAAAAAAAAACCCAGCTCGGCTCTTCCCCTTGATAAGAACTTGAGCGTCTCTTCCTCTTTTTTTTATCCACCCTCCCAAAAAATGCAATCTTCTGGTGTTGAGAGAGCTTGGCAAAAGTTCTCGTTTGCTCTCGCTCTCTTTTTTTCCCCTTCTCGGAACACAAAAGGAAACCCAGTCTTTGAGAAATCTCCTATCTCTGGATCCAAGGGGGACTTTTCTCCCAAAATAATCCGGACCCCGGGGCTCGATCTCGCCTTCGGGACGCCGTCCGCCTCGGCTTTCTTAAAGGACCAGCCCCGAGGAAGGAGGAGACAGTATCCCGGCTGGTGCGCGCAAAAGCCACCGTGTCTCCCCAGCCAGAGGTTTTCCAGCTGTTGGCGAGTTTGCTTTCCTTCCCCTGAGCCGCGCGCGCGCACGCACACACACCCACCCAGCTAGCTTTCATGGGCTTACTCTAGAGTTTAGGATTCCCCCCCCCTCTTTCTCTCCCCCCCCAATGTTGTGACGCTTTCCAAGCAAAGACAGGGCTTTCTTTTTCCCCCGCCCCCTGAAAGGCAAGCTTTTCCCTGCCTTGACCAAACCGAACTCACTCCGGCTCCTTTGCCGATGCGCAACAGATTGTTGAATTTCAGAGCCACGATTCAAAACAGCCTCGGATCTGGCACCATTTTACTACAGTATTATTCTTGCAAGGAGAAGGTGGCCGAGGGAGGGAGGGAAAGAGGGGGGTAGAGAGAGAGAGAGAGAGAGAGAGAGATTAATGACTTTTTCTGGCTATTATCTTTGCATCCAGAACCTCTGGAGGTGAAAAGCCGCCATTAAATCACTGAGAGGAAAGGGGAAGTTGTCTGTTAATTGTGCCTTCAAAAGAGATGTTGAGATTTCTGCCTGGTATGAGTGGGAACAATATCCCCAGACCGAATATGGAAGGGGGTGTTGTTGTTTGGCATTGTTTCCATCAGCTGAGAAAACCATGGCCTTTGGGTTAACCCAGCTGTGGGGCACCTACTTTATAAAGGTCTTTGCCTCTCTTCTTAATGGAATAACTTGACTGGAGATAGAAAGCTATTGGCCAGAATCCTATTGGCAGTAGACGTTTCCAGAAGGGGAAACAAGGAAGTGTTGGTGTCAAATTTGCCCTTTATTAGTGAGGTACTGGAATTGTGGTGCTGGAGGAGACTCTTGAGAGTCCCCTGGACTGCAGGGAGAACAAACCTATCCGTTCTGAAGGAAATCAACCCTGAGTGTTCTCTGGAAGGACAGATCCTGAAGCTGAGGCTCCAAGACTTTGGCCATCTCATGAGAAGAGAAGACTCCCTGGAAAAGACCCTGATGTTGGGAAAGTGTGAAGGCAGGAGGAGAAGGGGATGACAGAGGACGAGATGGTTGGACAGTTTCATCGAAGCGACCAACATGAATTTGGCCCAACTCCAGGAGGCAGTGGAAGATAGGAAGTCCTGGTGTGCTCTGGTCCATGGGGTCATGAAGAGTCGGACACGACTAAATAAAACGATCCAACAAGTGAGGTGCTGGTTGCATTTCTGCACATTTGCCTGGCATGTTGTGCATTGGAGCAGTGGCCCCCAACCTTGGACCTCCAGATGTTTTTGGACCACAACTCCCAGAAGCCTTTCACCACCACCTCTGCTGGCCAGGATTTCTGGGTGTTGAAGTCCAAGAATATCTGGAGGCCCAAGGTTGGGGACCACTGCGTAGAGAATGCAGCCAGCACCTTGCTAATGAGTGTCCATTTGCCACCAGTGCTTATACAGTGCTGTCATGCCTGGGTCTAGAGTGTCTTCACCTCATGCTTGACCAGTGGGACGGAAGGGGGCTGGTGTTGGTTTACGGTTCATCCCTGTGACCCCCATCCCTAGGAAATTTGATGGAATGCATTTCTGCTGCTGTGTTGAGGTGCCCCAAACTTTTACTTCTGCAGGAATGTTGCAAGTCACCTCCTCGATCTGGTGTTCATGCCAGAAGAGGAAAAGGGTGATCTGAAGGTGGTGAATCTCCAGCCCTAACCCTTGTCACAGTCTGTCATGGACAAGGGCCAATAAACTGAATCCAGGTAAAGTGGAGATCCTACTGTTGAGAGCACAGGTGTTGGCCCGTCTTGGGGATCCGAATCCCGAGTCTGAGACTGAGGTTTTGGCATCAAGTTCCAAGCTCCTATTAAAAATAAGTGTTTTTTTCCTACAAGAAAAATGAGATGGTTGGGTTCCCAGTCGTGAGTTAAGTCCAAGTCACGGGGAAAACAAAACTGAACCAAGTTGAATCCCAGTGTGACTTAAGCCTGTCAACGACTTGACAGCGAGTCCTGTGACTCCAGTCGCCATCGCTGGTTGGGAGGGTCATCATATTGGCTTGAGGGATATTCAGCTGGCCTTGATGGGGTTTTACTTCCCTTGAAGGATCAGGTTCACCACCTGGGAGTACTCTTGAATAGAGATGGGGGTTGTTCTTTAGTCGTTAAGTCGTGTCCGACTCTTCGTGCCCCCATGGACCAGAGCACGCCAGGCCCTCCTGTCTTCCACTGTCTCCCGGAGTTGGGCCAAATTCATGTTGGTTGCTTCAATGATACTGTCCATTCATCTCGTCCTCTGTCGTCCCCTTCTCCTCTTGCCTTCACATTTTCCTAACATCAGGGTCTTTTCCAGGGAGGCTTCTCTTCTCATGAGATGGCCAAAGTCTTGGAGCCTCAGCTTCAGGATCTGTCCTTCCAGTGAGCACTTAGGGTTGATTTCCTTCAGAATGGATCGGTGTGTTCTCCTTGCAGTCCAGGGGACTCTCAAGAGTCTCCTCCAGCACCACAATTCAAAAGCATCAATTCTTCGGCAGTCAACCTTCTGTATGGTCCAGCTCTCACCTCCATACATCGCTACTGGAAAAACCAGTAGTGGAAATACCAGAGATGGGGGTATTCCTATACAAATACGAATATCCCTGCACAGCTGGCATTAACAAGAGTCTGGCCCCTGGGGCCGGACTCTTCACTCACGTGTCCACCACTGGCCCTGCTCATCCTTCCAATTGCTCCCAAGCGTTGTTCTTTTCCCAGTTGGCTAGCCACTCCTGGCAGAGGGAGGGAAGATGAGTCTCCCTGCAAGGCTGCCAAATGGCTAGACGAGCAGTGCTCCAGAGTGATTGGAAGGAAGAGAGGGGCCGCCGGTGGACGTGTGAGTGGACGGTCTGGTCCCAGAGCCAGACCTTCGTTGACTGCAACTGTGCAGGTTATATTCGTACACGAATACGAATATCCCCATCTCTGCTAGCATAAATATTTGCCATGGCCTGAGTGCCTTTAATAAACTCTGGTTGATTGCCCAGCTGTGCCTCTAGCTGGATATGAAATACCTAACAATAGTGGCTCATATGTTGGCAATCCATAAAACAGACTGCTGTAACGTTGTCTGTATAGGATGCTCTTGAAATCAGTATGGAAGCTTCAGCAGGGCCAAAATGTGGCAGCCAGACTGATTGCAGGTACCAGCAGAAATGATCACACATTCCCAGTCTTGGCACACCTTCTTTGGCTAGTTTCCACACTCCATTTAAAGTTCTGGTCATAACCTATAAAGCCCTTAATAGTTTTAAGATCTTGATATTTGGCAGAAAGTCTCTCCCACAAAATAACTGGGTTGAAAGCTGGCATGCATATTCAAAACATCATTTTACTGTATATGGTATTTTGCCCTTGTTCCTCGTTCAGTATCTCACCTCTGTGTGTATTTTGTGAGACTGGGAGAATATGAAATATACTGAAACTTGATAAATCCCTTGCAGGCAGTGTTGATGGAATGAATGTTCAATGTACACAATTCTTTTACGGAGAAAGAAAATCCATACTTATTTCGGCGTACCTTTTCAAATGGATAGGTGGATGCCCCATTTCGTAAAGTATGTTTATGCACTTTTTAGAAATGTACGCAAGGTTTTGCTCATTTATTCAAACGTGCGTATGTTCGCAAACACCATTCCAATCAATCTTTATTTTGCGGTCTCTGACCATCGCTTCTCGGCCTTTTGGCTAAGCTCAATTGTAGCAAACGCCATTATCTACTCTTTCATGGATCATATCACATTGCATGCCCCAACATGTGTAGTTCTCGAACCGCAAATCGCAGTGGTTTCTGTATTCCCCCCTGGAAGCTATGGCTTGGGAAAATCCATCACCTCCCATCTGCAGAGATAATGGTGTTCATATGTGCAACTCACTCTTTGATGAGTAGGCATGTGTTAACGACCTTCTAGCATCTGTAGGACACTGTTCAACATGTTCCACAAATATTTGCTGAGTAACATCCCGATTAGAGATGGGCGCGAACTGAACAACGTGATGGGGAAAAAAATGAATCAGGCTCGTTCGGTTCGTGGTTCAGTTCATGCAACCCATTTTGCCAAAAGAAAGGGAAGCACCAAACTTTTCCCCACTCGTTGCTTTGTTTTGTTTTGGCAAAGAGGATGTCCACCCACCCCCTTCCTGATGCTCCTGTGGAGTCCCTATTGGTCCCACCTTCTCCTCCCCCACTGCCACCTTCAGAGGCTACAACCCGGCTTCCCTTCCAGGAGCCAAGCCTGCTATTTCTGCACATCTGCTCGGGACACAGCAGGACAAGGTATGGAGATGATGTGGCAGTGGGAAGGGGCGGGTGGGCAGCAGAGGGGGTGGAAGCAGTAGGTTCTCCTCCCCCCCCCAGACAAACCACAAACCATTATGACTCCCCCATTTTCTGGTCCTTGCTCATTTCTAATCTCAGTGGAGAGATGTGTTAGGTGTATGTTTGCAGAATCCCTCTGTGCGACTCCAAACAATTCAGAACGGACGCTTCCTTCCCCAGGGTCACCAGAAGATAAACCCACACTGTAAATTCCAGTCATTGGAAATAAACAAAAATAGACCTGTCACTTTCATTTCTGTTTCCCTCACCTACTTTATCTTGAGCAGGCCACTCACTTTAAAGCTGCATTCACATCTCTTTCTCTCCCTCTCCCTCTCTCTTACAGAAGTTTGTCACTGCATAATTCGCATTAATTGGCAGGGGGGGAGGGAAATGCAAAGAATTTAAAGCCATGAAAATGTTAACACACAAGGAGAACGAAGTAGTCCTCTCAAATATGCACAACCGTTTGCATCTTTATACCTTGCAATGGGCCAAAGTCATCCAACTCAGCTGCATGCTTCTTTTTTCTGAGCCAGCTTTAAGAGATGACATTTTGTGGTGTGTTTTTTTAAATGAAGTTACTTTATGCTCTGAGGTATAATGTGCCAGCCGTTTATAGACTTTCATTTTTCTAGTTTATAGTTGCAGGAACACTTATTTTTTACAAAAAAAAAAGAAACCTACATTCTCTACATCACAGAAGAGGCACTTAATGCAGAAACAAAAAGGATGATGCAAATATGATATGAATGAAC